ACAGAGCGGCTCCTGCCTGTCCAGTTTTGTTTGCCTTTTTTACTGTGGCATTCTGGATTGTAGCTTCGAATTGGGTTTTAGAGCTTTTTTCCTCTAAAATTCCCAGTGGGAGTGTAGCTGTTCTTGGGAATTTCCAGTCATTTCCGTTACGGAAATGATGATGAGAGCTCAAAGAGAGCTGAAGGTTGACGATAAAATCTAATGTGCACAGCTTGCAGAGGTCACCTATATTTGTAGAAAGCAGTTTGATTCCTTCACCTCGCTCAATAGCTGCACCTGCAAACCATTTAGCATGGGGCTGGCCTGAACTGTTGCTGAAGTGGAGGGCAGGATTTGATAGCCTGCCCAGTAAATAGTGTGTTACTATACACAGAGTAAAAGGGTAATTTTGCAAATCGGGTGTGCTGATATCTGAAGTAAACCCCTTCCCTGTCTGCCTCGCTAGAAACTGTGGACAGGCTAAAAGACCATTTGATGTGTCTGTCACGTTTTTCTTGGCACTTAAGGTCTACGTGGATTTTAGACGTTAAGTTTGCCATAAACACTTGATCCAAAACTCTATCATTGTGCTCAGGCAGAGAACACACTCGTAGTTTGGGCTCATGCAGTCCGGTTTGGTAACTCGGACTCATTTTAACCGGACTCGCATGGTATGCTGTTGACTTATTTTTTGTTTGTTGGTTGCTCTAGTTACTGGCTTGCCTGCTTTGTTGCCGTTATTGTGCGTTTGCGTGCGTGGAGCCCTTCGGTTACCCCACTAGCTCTGTTCTGTGCTCATGCTGAATCAGGCTTTGAAGGACGTTACCATCACAGTTGCTAATGATAAGGTTGTTTTTTTTTTCCCTCCCTAAAGGTAGTGAGGAAATGAAATACACTATGAAATATCTCCTGTAAGACTCCTGTATTGTATGAAAAGACTTCCTTTTGTTTAGCATAATCACTTTCAATCACCTCCTTGCAGCATTTGAGTATTTTAAAAGGCCAACATAGTCAAGCCCGCTATAGAATTGATACTTTTAATCAGGCATAGCCTTAATTTCCTGTTAGTCTTACCGTAGAATTGTGACGTTTTTCATCTTTGTAGCTGGCAGCAGCTCTTTAATGTGGGAAAGTAGCAGAGGGGAGATGTGCTGGTATAATTGCCCAAAAGCAGTTTGTAGCAGATTCATCAGCAAGCGAAGATCTTCTTGGAGCCTCCTCAGCTTTTTTCTCTCATTTTAGGTATGAATGCCTTCAGGCTCTACAAAGAGGTAAAGGTTGCTCTGTTCCAATGACTCATTGTTTTACAGGCTTTGGATTTCAGCTTGGATGGGAAGGTGAACTTGACAGAACTGACGTTGGCTCTGGAAAATGAGCTTTTGATAACCAAGAATGGGATCTATCAAGCAGCGCTGGCGAGCTTCAAAACGGAGATAAGACATTTGCTGTAAGTTGTCAGGATTCCCGTCTCCTCCACTTCCTCACCGCCCTCTTAGACGTTTGCCAAGTAAGAGCTTAAGTAGCAACTGATTAATCGCAATTTGTCATGCATCTGAAAAGGATATCAGACATGGCGCTGCAGTTTCACGGGAAGTCTCGCTTTTGATTTTTCTCGGTCAGAAACTGCGAACTCTTCGTTATTTCGTTTTGCACAGTTAAAACACCAGAATACAGCCAAGTATCATAGGAAAATATGCATACAAAAACAAATCAAAACAGCAGGCTGATTCCAGCCCTGTTCTCCAGCCTGGAAATGGTCATTAATGGCCAAGGAATGTAAATCTTATGATTGAGGCTGGTGCAATTTGGCAAGCGGTACCTTGAATGCTACGTGATTTCTTGCTCTAGTATTACAGAGGTTTTGCCGTGTGATGGAAGGGTGTGTGAGCTACAAAAATGCCATGCATCTCCTTTTTTCTTTGTGCTCTTTTGTAAGAGGTCCCGGGAGAGATTTTTAAATAAGACCCAATGGAAAGGCTTTTGAATAAATTCTCAAGGTGTACAAGATTCCTGTTTACTTTGGAGCTGCTTCTTGGTAGGGCTTTTCCGCTGTGAGTAACTGCAACCCTCCTGGCCATCACTGTCTGCTCCTAAATCTGTATAATTCTGCATCTTTGCAACTAATCTCACCCATGCCCAGACACGCGGTTTGACTTTGCACTGGTACTTGCCACGCAGGGTTTTTTATCCGGAGTGCGTTGTAGATGGGGAAACAATACGTTGCAGGCAGGGGACCAGAGAGTCCATAGCAGTATCTACCTGCCAACAGCTCAAATCCACAGAATTGGGTTATGGCTCCCCTGTGCAGACATTTAATCAGTTTTCTAAGAGTCGTATCTTCAGTTTTGTGTTGTTTAACTTGTGTAACTGTTGTATCTGTATGCCACGCATACAAGCTGTTAGCGTGTCTGGTTTGTGCTGTGTACCTTTGAATGCCACCTTTGGATGTTTATCAGTCTGTGCTTCCACCTCTGTGCCATGCTGTAGATGACTCTCCCTAGTCTTTAAGACTGCACAAGTGCTGTTATCTGTCTGCCTGTCATTCATGCTTGCAAGCTGCCTACTTCATTTGCGTGGCTACAAGATGAGGCTTCATATTATTCAGGTCTACACGTCTACCTTTTTACATACAGTCTGGAGAGTTTGCTACCAAGTTTTCATTAAGAAAGCTGCCCAACATAGTAAATCTTATGAGCTTGTTATTAAAAACAGATTGGATGTAGTGTAAGAACGACATGGCAAAGGTAATAAAATGATGAGAACAAGTAAATGGGGCAGAAAGTGGCCTGGCAAAATGGCATAGCCCTGCAATAGCAGGGAGCTAGGCAACAGCTGAGGAGTTCACATGCTGAATGCTCAGGCAGCAAGATCCATGGGGATATTAAGGCAGGTCTAACCAGAGCTACATGTGCAAGTTCATAGCTAACGACCAAATACAACTGACGATAAAACACCCCCCGGAGACCCTTCCAAGCTGCCCTGCTGTGTGACGAGCCTCTTGTGTGCAACTTCTTTGAGTCTGGGGGAGCTGGGAAAGAACTAACCCAGAATGGCTGCACTTACTGTAGGGAGCGAGTTGACCAAGTGGCCAGAGAGAAAGAGAAGCTGCGATCAGACTTGGAAAAAGCAGAAAAACTGAAATCTCTGATGGCGTCCGAGGTTGATGACCACCATGCTGCGATAGAGCGCCGGAACGAATACAACCTCAGGTACGGCACACCGATCCAGCCCGTTCGGCGCAGTGGCTGGTGAGAGCAGCCAGCCACAGGGCACGAGTCACTTCTGCTTGTCCTAACTGTTGTTGTAGGTATTATTCAGTGTTGCAGGTACTCAGTAACCGAGGCAATGGCTTGGGGTGAAGGATGGGAGAAGTGCAAGTATTTGCAGTTTAACTGAAAATAAGCTTGAACCTGTTTTCGATGTAAACTGCATGTTTGGCCAAGCTAAAGCAATTCTGTGCTTTCCCCACCTGCCAGACCCTTCTGCAGGTCCCAGAGAGACCTGGTCCCAGTTCCCATCTCTCTCTCTGCATCTCAACCCTTGCTCTAGTCACCTTGGTGTCCTTGCATTCAGTTTGCCTTCCCAGTTAGGAGGTGTGTGCTGATGTGAAATTGAAAATGCTAATTACACTGCTTGAAGAAAAATCAGATTTAATCCTAAAACAGCATCTCTGATCAGGCCATGGGTTGTATATCTAAAATTCGCCAAGTACCACGTAGCTGATCTGTGCTACTAATCCAAACATTGCTGTGTTTCTCCCAAGCAGTCTTTTCAGCCTGGTTAAGTGCCAACGCTGATATGAGCAGGCAGCTTCACATGTGATGACTGCCACCGAGCTTAATTCATAGTGGTATTTGCTGCCTAGCTCTTTTCATGAGCTTTCCTTACCTTTGATGCCTTAATAGGAAGCTGGATGAGGAATACAAAGAACGAATCGTGACTTTAAAGAATGAGCTCCGGAAAGAGCGAGAGCAAATTCTGCAGCAGGCTAACAAACAGCGTCTGGAACTGGAGCAGGAGATTGAAAAGCTGAAAACTGAGGAGAACTACGTCCGTGACCGCCTCACCCTTTCTCTAAAGGTACCAGGGACTAAACGCAAATGGGATTTTCCCACAAAAGGCTAGGCGGCCTAATAGAGGGGAGCAACGGTTGCAATTTTGTGCTTGTTGAGACAATCTATGACTGTATCTTGTGCTGGTTGAAACTAATTTTAGCTGCAAGATAGAGGCATATTTGTAACAGTGTTTTTGGGTCACCTCAATAGGTATTCCTTGGATTTCTGCTGCCCGTCATGTGCAGAACACGCACATGTACAGCTCTTAGATGGGTTGTTTGCCTTGCTGGCAGTCTGACTGTCCAGTCAGCAGATGATACATCCTGACAAAATCTAAAATACTACCTAAAAATCCCTAAAACGAGTTTGCAGTTATTCCCTTTCAAAAATGATCTGCTGCCTCATGAACCTTTTTAAGAGAACACTTAAATTGCAACTTTTTTCTGAACATGACAGCCGCCTTACTTGAATTTCATTTTTTAAACTGAGCGAAAGCTAAGGTAACGGTGTTGCCTTACAAATGATCTCAAAAGTTCTGACAGTCAGAGGGAGGTGATATACCTTTTAAAGATGTTTAGGAGAGCAGCTTTTAAAGGGATTATTGGCCATCCTATGAGAGCCAGGAAAACTATAAAATATTCTGAAGCAGTGAATTGAAAACGGAGAGGAGTCACAGGATACAACTGGTGCGTGCTTTGCAAGCTGTGTGCAGGCCTGAGATTCACACATCTTGCTTTAATGTGACGAGAGGAATGGTATGCGCATGCATAATAGAAAACAAATTCACCATTCCTATCACTAGCAGAAATTTTTAATGTAGTGTTCTGACTTGATCAGAAGACTGTTCTGTTCTTATGAGTTAGCGTTTTGAAAAGGAAAACCTGAGTAAATGGTAAGGCTGCTGGTGGGTTTGGTTTTGTTTAGGAAAACAGCCGTTTGGAAAGCGAGCTACTGGAAACTGGAGAAAAACTGGCTGAGTATGAAAGTCTGGCAAGCAAACTGCAGAGGAACTTGGAAAATGTCCTGGCTGAGAAGGTAAATCCCTCCTCTTTCCATTACGTGTTCAGAATTAAACCTCTTTTGAATTACTACACTTGAGATGCCAAATTAATTAATAGCAGGAGGTGCTTGGGATCGGTGAGCTATCTAACTGTGACCAAGCCAGGGTGCTGAATTGCACAGCTTACCTAGTTCATGTAGGCAGCTTGACTTGAGCTTCGGTTAAGGAAACTATTGATACTTCAGCTTAGGTGTAGTGTTAAGTTAATTGACAGTTAAGAGCCCTACAGTGAAACAGTCACTCCCCAAATCCGCAGGGATTTTTCTTGCCTCAGTATATGGACTTGGACAGACCCAGTCTGCAGGTCCTTTCTGGGGAAGTTGTTAAATGCAGACATCTTTACTTGGTTAAATTTTAGTGAAAACAGAGGTAAACAAAGTGTAAAAAATGAGCATGGTGCGGTTACAATAAGCTGTTCATAATATTAGTTTCTGAAGAGGCGTTTCTGAGTATGCACATGTATAGGCAAATGCACATAATGCTGGAGTTCTTGCCCAATATCTGTTTTCCAGACTATAAGGTTGGGATTATTTATCTCATCAAAATACAATTACTTTCTGCATGTATTAAATTAGAAAGGTATCATCTGGAATCAAAATTAGTAGTCAATACGAGAACTATGGTGGAGTAACAGCTAGTATTTGCTAGGGAAGCTGCTGTTTGTCCCCTACCAGAAGGGAAGTGGAGCTTCCATGTTTTTTTAAGGACAAAAAAAAAAAAAAAAGAGAGAGAAAAAAGGAAAGAGGGAGAAGACTGAAGAATTGCATCTGGGCTGCAAGCAGGGGTATTTGGAGGAAGAATAACTGGATTGTTTTCATGCTATTTCAGTTTGGTGACCTCGATCCCAGCAGCGCGGAGTTCTTTCTGCAGGAGGAGCGACTGGCGCAAATGAAAAGCGAGTACGAGCTGCAGTGCCGGGTAAGCTGGCCTCTGGGACTTGAGACTCGGCACTAACACCCGATGTGCAGATGTTCACGGCAAATGTTCTTGCTGGAAATGTTCTTGCAGCCAAGATTAGCAGCACGCACGCAACGCTGCCATTTTGTTTCCTACCTGATGACTTTCTTACGTTAAGCTAAGCTCTTGGATGGGAGAAAGCCCTTTCCACAGAGGCAAATGGTCGAGCTAAGAGATGAGGCGCCTTGAGGGTGGGCTGGGATAGGGTATATGGAGCCTCCTTTGATCAACAGATGTCAACTAAGCTTACTCAATACACAGCTATGCACTAGGTGTTTTCTGACTTGTGAAATAGCTTTGCCCTAGTTTAAAGTCAAAATTGCAAGGATTAACAACAGAAATACAATGTATAAGAGTTCTGTTGGTCGTTTCTATAACAGTAGTATTTTAAGTAAATAAAATTGTAGAAACTTAAAGCTCGTCTCGTCCTCCTCCCAAATCTTGTGCAGCCGAGTACTTTAAGTCGGGCCCCGAAGTGTCTGTCTATGCATCTATTTTCTGGTGACTACTATGGTTACGTAGCATAAGCATTCAGCTCATCTATTCTGCGTTATCCTTTTTGTTCAGCAAAGGACTATTGTGACAAAAGGCTGTGCATAATGTGAAGGAGCACAGTAGCTCTGCGAGGAAGCTGCAATTTAAAATCAAAGATTTTCTAGAACTAGTTGCTGAATTAATACTTCTGGATAAGAACTTGCTTGAATATGCAACTGATTTCTTGAGTAGTGGCAGATCTGAATCAGTCTTCAAGGTTCATTTTTCTGAACCTTTCAAATCTGCCAAATTGTGTGTTTACGCATTCATGGATTCATTTTCCTCAGTAAACACTGTTCACTGAACTCCGTGCATCACATTTGGCACAAACTCTTGGGATATTCTGCTTGGCAAGCGGGCAGAAGTACCAGATGGCAAATGCAGTAACGAGGATATCTCTTTCCCAAGGCAATCTTCTGCTTTTGATTTGATTTTTTAACGTAGAAAGGTGTTTGAGAGGTTTCTCAAATATATTCAAAATGTTCTGAAGTTGCTGCCTATGAAAAGATAATGAGAGGAGGAATATAGTGAAAGGTACTAGAGCATGGTATGCTTCAAATGCAAAATATATGCCTGTTATCAACCTGAAGAATGTTCTGCTGTTTCGGTGGGTAAACACATCTGTGCCGCTTGCACAGGCTGGAACCTGGAGAAGGGCGCAGTTGTTTTGCTGCTAGGAGAGTGACTGTTAAAAATATTATTGACAAGGCTTTACCTATAGTAATTCTCTCCTGAGTGCCTTGTCATTAGTGTGCATGCTGGTTTACGGGTGTTCGTTTGCCTTGGTTTGTTTCATTCAGGCTTCTTTATTTCCCTCCCTCAGGAGTTGCAAGATCAAATAGATGAGCTGCAGTCTGAGCTGGAAGAGTACCGTGCTCAAGGCAAAGTGTTCAGGCCTTCTCTGAAAAAGTCACTCTCGGAAGAGTTTGACGTGGATATTAAAAGTCATGGTAATAGTGGCATTGAGCCTGACCAAGGTAAAGTATCTTTCCTATGTGACGGTCTTCTATCTAAAGATATTTATGGTGACCTTTTAGATGCAATTATGTAAACTTTCCCAAACCTTCATAGGCTCCTTGAATAACACCTCCGTTTTGCTGTTTCATACTAGGTGGAGTATGGCTGCTGTGGTATATAATTAAAGCTAAAATGAATGTTTATAGTTTCTAGTTACAAGTGTGTGACTGGAATTTGAGAGCGCTGTAGTAGCTGCCTAAACAAAGATAAAGTGATGAAATAATTCAGTTGAAAAAGTAACTCTTTGGATTTTGAGAATATATATAATTATTTTCAAAGGACTTGGATCAGAAGACTGCAATCCACTGAATATGAGCATAGAAGCAGAAATGGTTATTGAACAAATGAAGGAGCAACATCACAGGGATGTACATCACCTCAAGCAAGAGCTTGAAGACGCAGTAAGCTATTTTACCTTAATACGAAGCTTCAGAACTTTTCCAGCCTCTTTCTACGGGAGATGACGGGAAAAGGACTAGCAGGACGGTCTTGGGAAAAGGGCTTTGTTTTGTGTTTCTGGTCAAATTATGACACTTCTGTTAATCTGGGCCAGCCTCTACCTTCCCTTCTCCTTCTGCATATCGCTCTGTACTTGAGCAGTACTGGAGAGGGCTGAATGAATGCTGCATTATATCTACTCACCACCCACCAGATAATGAAAGAGGAGTGAGCCTTTCAGATGAGGTATTGCGTTTCCTGTTCTGAAAGCCTGGTGCATCTGAATCAGTCACTTCATTCACGTTGGTGTGGAATAACTGTGGATTAGAAAAGCTCCCGGGGGAGTCCGTGTTGGTAAATGCTATGCTTGTGCAGTCTGGTGTTGAAATGTGATCGGGGCTGTGCAAGGATGGAAATTCTACTGTTACAGCACCTGTCCTGAGGAAAACGTGCAGTCAGTTCCCCATTTTCTGGGTGTGGATCTCTTGGCTTGCGGATTAATCTTACCGTACCTGCCGAAATACCTGGCTCTAGGTGGAACAAGAAGGGCTTACAAGGTCAGAGGCAGTGCATATGTACCATGCTGGGTCCAAAACAGGGTTTGTGTAGGAACACCAACAAGGTCTGGTGGGCCAGAGTGGTACCTTTCCCTGTCTTGGGGTGGGCATCCTGCCCAACCCACCGTGTCCAGCCTTTTGAGGGCTAGTTAGCTTAGCACAGCTTTGCACACAGCACAACACCCACCTCTGACCCACACTTAGCGTCTGCATGAAGATCGCAGTGTTTCCAAGCAAATAAGACCTACCCTCCTCAGCCGGTCAAGTGCACTGAGGTGGAGGTGTCCCCAGGCTTCTTCTGTAAGAGTTGGTTCAGAACCAGAAGTAGAGGGTCCTTTCAGGCCTTCCTTGCATCTTTTATCCCAGGACCCACCTCCACATATGAGCTGATTATAATAAGTGTATTCGTTTCATGTACGGCATAATGCAAGTGCACTGACGCTGTATTCTGACAAAGCTGACAACTCCCTGCTCTTATTAGCAATGTGAAATGAGGGATGAGAGTGGCAAAAGGGGACCAATAAAATATTGCTCTGAAATCCTAACTTCTCTCTAACAGTTTGTCTCATGTTTCTCTGCAAAAACTTTTTAAAGGGGAAGCCCTCATCCGCCTCTTGACTTGGGGACGCTTTTTCAAAAGCACTTGGTGAAATAGAGGAGTCCATCTGCAATTTGTGAAGTGAATTAGGACTTGAAAATTGTTAGTGGCTTCTCTTTGCTTTCACAAATTTGCTGAATGGAAAAGCATGAATTTCACTGGCTTGTAGACAAAAATCATCTTTACTCCAGCAAGAAATCAAGCTGAGCGTCTTAGGATTCTTTGCAGGGGAAACCAATTGTAAGATACTAGTATGTAAATCAAAATCTATAGAGTATCTAGAAATACATAATATAGAGAAAACATTTCTATAGAATAGAATATGTAACATTTTCTATAGAAGATCTTTCTATATCTTTGTAGAAAATGAATCAATCTATTTCCCTTCTTGTAGGTGAGTCATTATGAAAAGCAGCTAGACGAGACAAAAATCTACTGTGAAAAGGAACAAGAAGATATGAGGAAGAAGTATGCTGAAGAGATACTTGTCATGGAAAAGCAAATAATTGGCCTTAAAAACCAAATTGCAGAACTGCAGGGAGAAACAGCAGTACTCCGAGAACAGCAAGAGAGGCTTGGCTGTAAACATAACGATGAGAAAAACAAATTGCAAATAAGCTTCAATGAGGAAAAAGCAAATTTGCAAGAATTACTCAGGCAGGAACATGAAGAAGATGTTCGAGTTAAACTGGAGGAGGTGAACGAGAAGTTTAGTCGAGAACGGGAAGAACTGATTCAAAATGGTGTCTGGATGGAAGAAAAGATGAGAGTTTTAGTGCAGACACTGCAGGAAGAAAAGGGAGAGCTAGAACGTGACTTTCGTGAGCAGCTGAAAAGGGTGACGGAAACGCATGCCTTGGAGAAAGAGGAGCTACAGCAAGAACTGCTGAGGAAGCACAAACAGGAACTGGAGGAGGAAAGGTGAGTGCTGTTGCTGGTAGTGATGTATGCTGGCCTCGATTGCTTGCCATGTTGACCAAGGTAAAGCTAGTGCAGAAATTACTCCAGATGCTTAATTCAAGTGTGTTAGCTGTATAGTGCCATTACTTGTTTTATTCCAGAACACCGATAGGCTGGTATCCAGACGCTTTTTCTTTGGACCTTTCTCAAGCAGATATCTATGTTGATTTTTAGCTCATCCAGAGATAACAATACTGTTAAAGCATAAACAGCCATGATTAATTTGAGCTCTATTCAGTATCCCTGTGCTCCACAATCCTTTGTACTTAAGAACTCTGAAAATCCAAATATTGTTTTTTCCCAAAGAAGTAAATGGATGGAAGGTAAACACATTTGGCTAGAATATAGTGTCAAAGTAATTTGAACCCTTCTAGGGGGAGAACCTCTGCCTCTGTGAATCCGATCGCAAGTGCAGAAGGGCATGTATTGTGTAAGAAGCTATTTCTAAGGACACTTCTTGAGTTACATTCATTCCAAGGCAATTAGATTTTTTTTTTTGAAGTTTCAACAGGCTGCCTCAGATTTAACTTTGGCTCTCAGAAGACCTATTTGATGGGTTTACCTGAAACTTGGTGAAAATGTAATTTTTCAGCTTGTTTTATTAAGTAGCTTAAACAGCCGTTTGAATCTTTTTCTGAGTGAGCCCAGAGTTTAGTAATGTGTTATGTTAACCATGTTTAGGAAAAAAATGGAAAGTGACTATAACAGAAGAGCATCTCACGCAGAAACTGAGTTTTCTGTGAACGCACAAACACTTACGAATAAATATGAAGACACGATCCAAAATCTGGAAAGACGCTACCAACGAGAGTTGCACGAACTTGCCGAACAGCAGAGGGAGGAAAGATCTCAGTGGGAGTTTGAAAAGGATGAAATTATCCAGGAGGCTGCTGAAGCCCAAGAACATCTGAAGGAAGGGCTGGCTAATGAAAAGGCTGTTTCTCTTGCTCTAACCCAGGAAAAGGAACTCCTGGAGAAAAACTTCAAGGAAGAAGTGAACAGGTTGGTGTGTGAAAAAGAACAGCTTCAGAAAGAGCTACAAGATCTGAGAAATGCTACTGAAAAGCAAGAGAATGAGTTGAATGATAAAATAGCGCAACTCCAAAACGACCATGAAAAAGAGCTAAAGAACAAAGAAGAGTGTATATCCACGATGGAGGAAAGTGGGAAGCTGGTTAGCCAACAGCTGGAGAGACTTGACAGCGAACATAAGCAAGAGAAAGAACAGCTCAATTCCAAACTTCTTGCTTTAGAGAGCTTAAACAAAGACATCTGTGTAAGGGCAGAAAGAGAGAAGGCAGAGATGAATTTGGAAATCTCAAATCTTCAAGAAAAAATACAGAAGTTGCAGTGGGAGACCCTTAATTTTTCCACTCTACAAAATCATTATAGAGTACTGGAAAATGAATATGCAAAAGCAAAAAGCAAAATTGCTTCGTTGTCTGGTATGGAGCATCCGGGAGATGATGCAGCTGTTCTTAGGAGTCTGCAGAAAGTGCATGAGCAAGCAGTGAGGGAAAACGTCAGAATGGCTTCTGAGATCGTCGCACTGCAGCAAAGGCTTCAAGCCATCGAGCGTGAGCCAGTGAGACGTGCCAGTTCTGACCGCGCAAACTCTGATTCAGAACAGTCCCAGCCGCAGGCTGCACTAGATCCCGTTGCAGAAGGGTTGCCCAGCGATTGTAAAGACACAGATAAGGGAACAGATTCAGATGTCTTTCCACTTCTGGAGGCTAATATTACAGACCTTACAGAAATGACTGAGGCTCATTCCAGTTTGGAGAAGCCATGTGATGAAACTAGGACAGAGAGTCACGCTGTTAAGGTGCAGGTGTGCCAGATGCCAGGAAGTGTAACAGCACTGGAAACTGGTTGTAACCACGATGCTAACAAGAAGCAACAGCTAGTTTCTATAGTGCCCTTGCTGCAAAAAAAACAGAGAGATCTTGAAAAAACTCTTGAGATAGTTCCCAGACTAAAGATATTACCCAATGATATTAAACGACAGAATGTCCGTCAGCTGGTAAATAACAGAATAGCTACCAAAAACAAAGGCTTTTTTTCTGATGCTTCTAAACTACAGATTGAGCTTGAGGAGGCTGAAGAACTAACTGGTGCTTCTCTCCAGCTTAAGCATGTTTCTGGATCAACTAAAGAGAAGGGTGACCTGAAAAACATAATACCTCAGCTTTGGAAAAGGATTGAAGATTTAGAAGAAAGATCAATGGCACAAGCTAAACTTCTGTCTTTACAAGAAGATATCCAGGTGGAAAATGAGGGGCTGAAATCTGAAATGATAGAGTTAGTTGAAAAAAACAAAGTACTAGAAGACAATTTAGCTAAGCTGAGATGCCTTCGCCGCAAACTAGAAGAAAGTAACCTAGAAACTATTCAACTCAGAGAGGAAAAAACACAGCTCCTCAGGAAAGTTAAAGAATTGGAAGACATCCAAGAGCAATACACACAAGGAAAAATAGATGCACCCAGTGAAAAGTTAAGACTGCAACGCCAGCTTGGAAAAGTGGAAGAACACACCGCGACATTTAAAGTTCTGCAAGACAAGCACGCTCAATGTGATGTCGTGATGAAAGAGACCTCTATGGAAAAAAGAGAGCAACAAGAGCTGAACAGAAAGCTGAAAGTTGCTACTTTGATTAACCAAAATGACATGCATCCTCATGAAGAGAGAGAAGCATGGAGCACGGTGACGCATGGTTTGCAAAGTACATGCAGTGAGCTGCAGCAAAAAGTTGACCTTTTGAGGTAATGTACACTTAAACTTTGTGGGAAACGTGCAGGCCCCACAATAATCAAACTTGCTGCTTGCTCTGCTTAGAAACTAACCTAGCAATCCACTGATTACTTTAACTTCTGCTGGCTGACTTACAGTTGCTGCATTAACAAGTAGTTTAACTGTGATTAGGAAACAATGCCTTGGATTCTAACTACTAGTAAGCAAGCTCTTTAAACGTGGACAATGAGAGTTGAAATACGTGTATATGATTTACTCCTCTTTGAACGTGATCTAACATGAGCGATGGTCAAAGAACAACTTGTCAGCTGTGCTGTCTGTGGATAGTCATCCTTGCAGTGTGTAGTTTTATGGTAAACCAGAGACCTATGTTTTACTTCAAATACGACGGTAACGTTTCCAGAATGCTTTCAATTTTCATACTAATATCACCTCTTCATTCTGTTCTTTTCTAGTACTGAATGTTACTTGGAACGCTAAAAGTGCTTCAATTTTCTAAATATTTGAAGTTAACACTAGAAAATGAGTACTTTTTTCCTAGTAGGAGCACTTAGTGTTAGGAGTCCATATTATATGGTATAACATGGTAAATACCATCATAACAAAGAGAACAAAATAATTACCTAAGTTTTTAACTGCTGTATTTAAGTAAGTGCTTTTTTGGGGACCGTAAAGTGGTTGCAATGACTAATTTGTGTTCAACAATGGCTTCCTGTAAGAATTTGTTCTTTCAAGAATTACACCATGCCTCAATTATTTCTCTGCAGTTGCCTCAGGAAAGAAAAGGCATTTTCAAACTCCGCTGCTTCCATGCTGGTATTCCTAGCATGTTAGACTCTTGAAATAGCTGGTGAAACTGCTCACGTTTGTAGCAGTTTGCATATTGTGGTGTTCAGCTGTGTAAAGTTATGACTATGTTATTTGTAATCTAAGAAGTAAAAGGTATAGTACAATATTAAAGCTTGAAGTTTTTACTAGGTACCTTAGTTTCTTTAACTTTGTGCACCTTTTTTGTGAAGGAAAAAAGGCCCTTTTTCAGCGATCTGAGAGGAACTCTCACTAAATGAAATATAAAATCCATATGCAGTTGATAGGTAAAACTAGTCAGTAGTAGCTCTGTTTTTAAAACATCATCAGTAGTTTAGCCTTTTTGTAACTCTTCTCCCTGCCGGCCTAGACAATATATGGAAACAGTTTTCAGTTGTCTCATCTCTGTCATAGATGTGAAGCCGAGAAGCTCAGGGAAGAAAATGCTATTCTGAAAAATGAAGTAACTTTATTAAACGAGGAAGGTAGCGCTTCCAACCTGAAACTGAGGGAGCTAAATGGATCTCAAGAAGAAATGCGGTAAGAATTGAACAGGGCATGTATTGTGTGTGTGTGTGTGTATGCTTTCAGGTTTCCGTTGCAATGCAGGCACGATAGTTGCGTCCCTTCTCAAAGCTTTCACGTTAGAGATTCCACAGAATTAGAAACAGACTTATCTCCTGCTGCCATTAGAAATCCAGTTGGCTTACAGTCTGTTCTTTTGCATTTCTCACCTGTCACAGCTTGTTCTGCCTGTTCCTGGATCTAAAGCAGGGACTTCCTTGATAGGAGCTCTAATGGCCTAGTAACCCATACGTGACTGATTTTGCAGCAACACGGACCTACTCAGGAGCAGAACTAATGTGATTCCTCTGCTTGCTCCAGCAAAGGCAGAGGTTGCTAGGCATGTATAGCCTTAGAAAAGGCGGGAAGAGGTACAGTTTGACATCTTACTTCAGTAGTTTGGCCTTTGACACGGTCTTTTCCCATGATCCTCAGAGTATCTTAGCCTCCTAGGAAAGAAATGTGTGGATATCTCAGAAGTGAGTGCTCACTGAGCCTAGGCAAAACAGTGATGCTAAGCGAAAAAAGAAAAAGAAAAAATCCAGAATGACCATTTCTAGTGATAAGATGTCAAAAAACAGCCCATTCTTGCTGCCTCTGTCTATTAACAGGTGCCCCTAATGTTAACGAGCTTTCCTTTTTCTTAGGCAAAAAATAGAGGCGGTAAGAAAGGAGAAAGTGGCTGTACAGAAGATGGTTGACAACCTGAAAAAGCAGGTATACAGACTGTGTCTGTAATATTCTCTGTAGGAATCTTTGTGACATCTAAAGAAAGACTTTCATACAGCAAAGGCCATAGAAAATGGACATTCTGTTCAAACTTCTTGATAATAACTGTACGTTCTCAATAACTGGTCGGGGTGGATGTGAGGCTTTTGACCTGATTTGAAGACAACTGCAATGCTACTGTAACCATTTAGCTTACAGACTTGAGAGCATTTTCCACAGTAAACTTGAAAGTATGCTTAATGGAAATATAAAATTAAAATCTTTCCTTTGTAATCTTTCTGGGTAATGCTCTGCAGTAGCCCATGGGAAATAGAGGTTATGTGACTCAGCCTCCTCTTATCTCCCAGTTAGCTGCGTCTAGGAGCACTGCCAGCAGTGATCCCTTGCTCCTGTCTATGGGATTTTACCATCTTCTAAGGGAGCTTTGTTGTACTAGGCAAATAATAGAAGATTTACGACGTTCTTATGCTCATATTCCTCTTTTAGTAATGCCTAGTAAAATTCTACTTGCTCAGAATAATCTACCAGTTTACCAGCATAACCCTCAAGGTATATTCCAGCATGGCAAAGGGAAGGAGGAACTGAGGAGGCTGCCTTTATGCATGCAGCATGCTGTCAGGAGGTTTCCCACTCTTAGATGTGCTACTGCTTGATTTGGCTTAAAATTAGGGCACGGAGCAAGTTAAATAGGCTATAGAGAAACAAATAAAGGAGTGCTGTTGGGAATGAGACTGTCACCTAGAGTACAGTTAATTACTGTTGTACCTCCCTGGCCAGGTCATCGAATTGTAATGACTCTTGTCAGTATATTTCTTTTTAATCATTTTAATAAAAAGGAAACGTTTTAAAAATCTGCTCCCCGGTGTAAAGGTACTCATAACTGACACTGCTGTCCAATTTCAGGTAGTGGATCTGAAAACTAGGAACCAGCAGCTGGACTCTGAAAATATAGAACTTAGCCAGAGGAATTCCAAAAACCAAGCAGATGTTCAGGATCTTAATCAACAGCTGGCAAGAGTACTCAAGCAAAAGGAAAGAGAAGCAGGAAAGTGTACCTTGGAAGAATGGGAAAAAGAGAGATTGCTACTGAAAGAGGAACTGGAAAACTCTAAAATAAAGGTATAGAATAACACTGTTGCTAATGGTATGAAACAATTTTTTAGGTATGCATAGGTACCATGGCATTAGCACCCCTTTCTCAAACTGTGTGTGGTCTTTCAAATCTGAACTTTCCCGAGTGCTAGCTGCAAATGTACGTGCATGCAGGGATGGGGGTGGGAAGGAAAGACGGAGGCTGCTTTCTGGCTGCTGTTGGGAAGGGAAACAGGTAGAAGCATGCAGTTCTGTTTTGCAAATGGATCTTAGCGATGCTACATACTCCCACCTGTATGTTCCAGGATGCCTGTTGTGTTCAGTCCAGTGCCATCCCAGCATTAACTCATGTCACTGGGTGGAACACCCCCTGGCTAACCTCTGTTACTCTGCCCTTCTCTTTAAGTTGAAGTCAGCCTTTTATTTTTTCCAGTCATCAAATATGGTGTCTTCCCTGGAGATGGAGCTGTCAAAAATGAAAGTTCAAGCTCATGTATTGGAGCAGGAAAACCACATCCTCAAGCAGGAGCTGGAGAAAACAAAACAGGTATGGCAGCCTACTTGACTGCAGTTAGATAATGGGTTTATTCCCCCAACAGCCAGCAGGAACGTGACTCTCTTAATGTGCCCTACTCTCTTGCCTGAATCTGAGAGATTTATTTTTTTTCTTTTTGAAGAAAGGCCGTAGCAAAAAGGGAAAACATAGACTTTGACAATGAAAGCAAAGATATAAAGCTGAATTCAAACAATATATTAGGCTTTTCTGGTTTGTGGAAATAAGAGGGGATGGGTCAGAGGGACGTTTTACTGCGCTAGGATTCTTCAGCCATTGAGGCAGCTGATCATATGGATGTATGATCCATATCCAGCGAAGGCCTGCTCTCTTTCAGCATGTCCTCTGAAAGAGAATTCCTACTGCTAAAATCCCTCTGAAGACATTGACATCTCTTAAAACTTCTAAGGATAATTTCCTGGAGGGTTTGGTAGTTGATATAAGCATGGTTCAATAGGCTGTAAATACATGTTAATAATCATAGATAATACAAGGCTCCAAATGAGTTTTAGCCCTCCTTATTAGGACCCGCAAAGTCATTTTCTTTACAGACTAAAGCACTCATTTGATGTTTCCAATGCCTAGGGTTGATAATGGTCTTAAAAAGCAAAAGCAGATGAGGCCTATTCAGTAGAGAGTGGATTGTGGCTTGAGTGTAATTAAAGACAGAAGATTGAGCAAAGACAGCACAGGAGGAGGCAGAGTGTTAAGCTAAAGGATTGAGTGTTAAATGGGAAATGGACCATAGGTCAGCAGTACAGGGGTTTTTTTCCCCCCCTTCCTTGGAAGTTGGTCTCAATAGCGGTTAAGTTGAATCTGCCTCATAGAGGTTAAGTTGAATGCTGATATCTTCTTTTAGAAAGAAGACTTCCAGATCTGTTAGCTTGTTTATGGTGATTTTTGTTTTGTTTGTAAACAGAGCCAGTGAAAAACCTATGGGCTTGGTTGACGGAAGCTTCACTTTCTATTGTAATTGGTGTCATACTACCTGATTGATCCTATATTAAACCAAGTATTTTGATAACTATTTTGTAACTATAACACATTGATATGCCTCATGTGAGATGCGCAGTATCTGTCTGCTGGCCTGTGATTGGTAGGATGGGGAAAAAGACCATCCCTAAAGCAAATCTGAAGGATCACAGAGCAACTGGAGAATCCTTAGCACTGCTCTTGCAGGAAGGATGTCTCGGATCATACCAATGGCGCACCAAAATGCCCTTTGCTTCTACCTTTTACCCTCTATCCAGAGTGTGATATTTAGCCCTGGGGACAAGAGAAAGCTTTTTATAACACTTTCAAGTAAAATTCTGAAACAGCACAAATGCAACTGTGAGGGGTTTGTTTTCCACAGCTGCCCAGATGTTCTGATCTCTCTGACCTTCAAAATGAAGTTTCTAGCTTAATTACCAGAAATGAAAAGCTGCTGAAAGAAAAAGAAGCCCTGAGTGAAGAATTAAACAGGTGTATTGATAAGGTAAGAAAGGACTGCAAATTCATGTGTCTACCTACATGCTATTAATGAGCTATTTAATTCTACAAGCTGTTGAATTCTTATACCACTATCTGTATCACCCTTAGCTGTAAAACTACTTTAGATTTTTTTCCTACCTTCAAGCCAGATAAATGCCTAATCTCCTCCACCTTTTTTTTTTCCAGCTGATGTTAAAGAGGAAGCTTAAATTCTGGCGCACAGCTTTACTGTGATTTGATTAGGTAGTGAATTCCAAACATTGCAAGGAACACAGAGGCCTGGATATAAATATTGTAGCAGGACAAGGAAGACTGTGTTCTCACTTTTTTATTGTAGCCCTAATGTATTATGAGTTCAGAATTCTGAACTCAAGCAGTATAACTAGCATCCACGCTAGAAATAACATCCTGTTGTTGTGCAGAGATTGGTGAGGAGGGGAGAGCCGAGGGTTTTTGGCTCTCCTACGTTTTCTTTTTCTTCTTCTTTGCATGGTTGTAACTCCATCCAACTTAACTCTCAAAGTCAAACTGAGTTAAAGAAAATCCTGGATGATTCTGGTTTACAGATGTAATCTTATTTCAGGTAGCTAAAGTAAGCTTCTTAGAGAATGCAATTGCCAGCTTGAAGCAGGAACAGAAGTCCTGGGAACAACAGAGTCAGGCATTGAAAACACAGCTCACAGTTTCACAAGAAAAGGTATAGTGTGTTTTATTATAGCCCTGGATCAAAAGCTCCCCCACCCCCAATCTCTTGGAGCCGTTTTTTCATAAGGGTAGCTCTCTTCTAATACGTGCAAAGATGTCGTGCAGCTGATAATGGACGTTTTCATGGGCTTTCAGAGTGACCCTCTTAAAGAACAAGAGGAAACTTGTTAAATGCCATGAGATTTTTTTTCCTAAGAATAAGCTATGTCGTTTTACATCTACAACCAAGTTCCTTTGCCTATTCATTCTTCCCAGTTATCCCTAGCATACTGCAAAGCTACTGCTTCCTGCTCTTCTGGTGGTAGCTTGTTTCTTACCAGTCAAGAGAGGAGGAGAAAAGGCCTTTTGCTTGGCTGACTGTGTTTGGGGTTCCTTGGTGGCCCCGGGCTGCCAAGAAGAATAAGTAATTCAAGATAAATCTCCTTCTCCCAGCATATCACACTAAATATTCTGGGGTGGCAGATGTGTGTTTACTGAATGCAGCTATTTCTGCCATAACAAAGACTATATGGCGACTAATTTAGAAGACAATTTCAGAGAATCATTCAATGTTTTTTTTAGGAGGCTGGCAGCATTACAATTTCATTACTCTTTTTATCAGAGAGGGATCCTAAATATTTGTGTGATTTGTCACACGTGTATCTTAGCAAGTAAACCACTCTTGCCAAACTTGTTCACTATTTATGTAGTTGGTTTAATAGAACTATGTTTCTTCAAATTAGTCACAAGAAATCTTGGTGCAGCAAATACAAAGCTGTGTTCCTGTGTGTTACAGGCTCAGAGTCTAGATGAAATACTGCAAAATACCAACCTCCAAATGTCCCGACTAAAAGCAGACTTACGGGTGACACAACAGGAGAAAGAAACTCTTAAACAAGAAGTGATGTCCTTAAACAAGCAACTGCAGAATGCCAATGAAAAGGTAAATGCCTTCCGAGATTGGTGTACTAAAATGGCACTGGCTTTGAATTAAACTACCTCAACGACGGTGAACTTGGCATGCCAGAATTTAAAGATATGTTAAGTACTGCTTTTCTGTAGCCTCTCACTGTATTCAGCTTAATTTTTAGGTTTAAGTTGTCAACAGCAAAGCCACAAATACTGCTACAGACTTAAACAAGTAGATTCTAAATTATGTAACTATTGATTCTTTTGTAAACACAAGTGATAAATAGCCTAATAAAGTGAAAAAGATGGGTACAGAAAAGTCCTATTTTAATCCTGTTTTCTGTATTTACTAGTTTCCCATTTTAAAAAAATGTTAACTATAATCTTGCAAGATTGTATATAATGTGCAGATTTATGGTAATGTATTTTTAAAATCTGTCTCTAGATGTTAGGACAGGCTGTGATCAATCTCTTGTCTTTTAAATATAGCTTTCTCTACGAGTGTTTATGCTTCCCTGAAATAAACCTTTCCCCCAAAAAAATCCGTGGACAAAGTATGAATTCACAGATGTCAGACTGTAAACACGCTAACAACCAAACTAGTGGTTGACAGGAAGATGGAAGGCACAGTATTATAACAGCCTTTCTTTTTTAATTGATGAGGAACTATAACTGAAGGAGGTTGTAGACAGCAGTCTTGTGATTAGTGTTATGAATTCAGATACTAATTTTTCCTGTTTGCCTTGTAATTAAGGAATATTTAATGTCCGCATGGAAAATAGGCTGTTTTAGAATTGTACAACAGGAACTAAATTACAGTTATTACTGAATATATATAATACTGAGTTCTATTATTTAGCTGATGAGGCTGTGAAATAGAGTGCAAATTGCTTTTTTTACGTTGTTGAGCTTTGTGCACTCATGTTAACCATTCTGGCATTTAGCTATTATCTATGATTTCAGCTAAGGGAACCACTTTGTTTTTGCACTGTGATTAGCATGTTGGGTTTCTTGTTGAAAAACATGTAGGCTGGGAGGAGGACAGGAATCCTTTAACTTAAGAGTCTACAGTTACTGAAAGCCTATTAAAACCCCTCTGAGTAGAGAAAATGTCTGCTTCTTTGTTTAAGGCCTAACCCTGCAATTCTGTCTGTCTTAAGAACCGGGTTCTAGAACTGGCTGTGCCTTCCTCAGGGCTGCAGGACCAACAGAAGAAATTGCACTGGGATGAACTGGATGAGCTGACGAAACAAGAGCAGCAGCTGCTAAGACAAGAGAATGAGAGATTACAGAGAGAAGTCCAGAACACTAAAACAGATCTCACTCATTCCAGGGAGAAGGTAACTTGAGCAAGCTACCAGTGCCCAAAAGGTCACGGCATGCTAGGCAAAATTTAATGGTTCATTTTTTGTAATGAATGATACAGAAGAGTAATGTCATTCATTAGTTTTGAAGAGAAATATTTGTAGGAAGGCTGCATAATGAGAAAGCCTTCTTCCGTATTTGCACGGAATTTATTAGAGAGCAGACAGTCATGAAATTTCAAACAATGGCCATTTAAAAAATTCTGAACATAACTCATCGAAGAATCTGGTCTGATTTTCAGTTAACATGTCTCTTTTTTTTTTTTCTTTTAAGGATTCTCTTAAGGATTCTTCTTAATATTCCTAGCAGTCTCCATGTTCAGCTGCTTGGTTCACAGTGTTAGGCAAATTGTGGGGACGAGGAAGGGAAAGAATGACACAGTGCTCAAAGCTAAAGGTCAAAAATACTAGAAACTGTTACAGTAGGAAATTGTTTGGTACTTGATATTTTAGATGAACTGGGTGCAATTGGATTTGCAGTGGACTGTCAGTTTTGACTTACTGGACAGTGTTAGGAACCTCACTATGAAACTTTACGAATTGTCTGGAATGTCTTTCTACATTTGTTCATCTCTGGTCTCTTTAGATCCGACAGCTGGAATCCGCTGTCCTTTCTCTAAAGCACCAAAAGCATCAAAGCCAGTCAGGTATTGTCAAAGCCATAGAGCAAGAGAAATTAAGCTTGAAGAGAGAGTGTGAACAGCTTCAGAAGGAGTTGTCCTCTGCGAACAGGAAGGTTAGTTTCTGATGGTAAATAAGTGACTGGGACTTCAATGCAGTACTTGCAGCTTTTCATCTCTAAGAGCTAATATGGTACTTTTCTTCTTTTACTCAGTTATGTGCTTTATGGCTCATTATGAATCCCTCTCCCAAGGAGCCTGTAATCTTTTGTTTCGTGCTTCTGTAGAGCATGCTACTACAGGGTTGTAGTCTATGCCAATATGCTGTAGGAATCCTAGTCAGTACAAACAGTTCCGGAGTGGAACACGGGAGCCATAAACAGGCTCTTTTCAAGTGTTCTGCAATACGCAGCTCCCATATGCTACATTTAGATTCCCATATGCTCTCTTTTCAGGTTCAAAATTGGTTACCCTGCCTATTCTTTGACACGTCTGTCGAACACGCTGTCTACATTTAGTCTTGGATACTGCTTTTAGCAAAACATGTTACACTTGTCCACATGCTTACTTACATCTTGTAATAATGAATTGTCTTGATGTGCAGTGATTCATGACTTGCATACTGAATAAAGCAGATAATGAGAAACTGTTACTTTTCTAAGGAAAGCTCTTGTCTTTAATAGATCAGTCAAATGAATTCTCTTGAACGTGAACTGGAAACCAGCTCAGAAAATGAAGGGCTAAGAAAAAAGCAAGTCAAACTGGATGATCAATTAATGGAGGTACTTTTCAATAACGTTAACTATACTGAACAGTGTGAAGGTTTATCAGTATCTCACAGAATCTATGAATTTACCTTTTTCTAGATGTGTAGAAACAGGAAACTGAAAGCTAGACAAATTAATCTCTTCTAACATCTAATCTCATCTTTCACAATCAAAGTGTTGCAGTGTGACAAACATGCTTCTATGAAGCACGCTGTGGTTTATCATAATTCATGTAAGGCTTCAGATTTAAAATCAGAGAGCAAAGAAATTTATTTCTGTGCTTGGGGACAAGGCTGAGGTTTTCCTGTTCCTTCCTGAAACATGTAACCTCAAGTTTCCTAACTAATATTTGCATAAGACTATTAATTTAGAAAACTGTTCTTAGTTACTATGGGAGTACTTTGCTGAATTTAAACCTCTCATCTCGAGCATGGTAGAATAACAATTTAGGCAACTTGCTGTTAATCCAAGGGCATGAATGAAAGCTTCAATTGAGATTCTTCCCAAGAAACCAGTCCCAAATGAGGATGCTCTTTATTATTACTAGAGTCAGATCATGTTGGAGGTAATGTTATTGTGTCTTTCTCAGGTACGCTCAGCTGGAGAAACAGGCATGCTTACTACAATAAGTTAGTGTATCTTGTCAAGGACAGACCTCTGAGTTGCCTCTCAGCTGTTTTCCCTCAACTTGATGCCTTGAATTTGAGTTGAAGAAAAGACAAACCAAAATTTTGACTTGTCCTATAAATCAAAATACCTTCTAGAGGAGTCTTTTCAAACACTGTTTATTAAAAGGCTTAATGTTTTTCATCGAGCAAGTGAATGGGCAACATGTTATATTAAACATGCAATGCAATTAGTGGTAAAATTTAATTAGAAAAGATGAGACTTTGACAAGTTGTTGAAAAAGGTTTATATCTGCCCTGTGCCTTTATTTATGTATTCTCAATTAAGCTTTGGGACAATTCCAAACACATTTAAGCCCTCTCCTATAAACTTCAAGCATGGAAATGCATTTTCTCCTAAAATTTGTATTTCAAACCATGCAAGATTTTTGTTACTTATGATAACCTTTTCCCAGCAGGTGTGTATAGCACTCTCAGCACTTTCTAACTTCTCACTTTCTCTTTTGTGCCTGTTCTTCTTTTGTTCATGGCTAACCTGTCTAGAGCTCAGTGGCTGGAACTAGCAGAGAAGGGTGCAGTTCTCTTTCTGAAATAGTGTGTGAAGGTAGAGCAATCATTTTCAATGTACTACCATAGCATGGAGAAAACGCATTTTTCTTTTATATAGCATTTTTTATTCCGTGCATCCTTTAAGTAAAGGAGTCACTGTTCATTTTAATCTGACGTTTTTTTCTTTGACAACTGCATTAACTTCTTTTGTGTGGCTACTATATCAGGAGATTGATCCTGTAGGCCAAGAAGTTGCGTACTCTTAAGACCTTACTATGAAAATTGAGAAATAACCGGCTGCATTCAAAAGGACTGAATTGCTTATAAGAAAATGAAAAGTGGCTCAACCCCTTCCTTCTAACCCATTAACTGTGAGACTTGAAGGTGTCTTCATATTTACCTCTGATATCCTGCATGCCTTTCACGAGACTGTTAAATGTTTCTTTGATATTAGCTGACATGTGGTCAGAGTCAATGTTATCCGTAATAGTTTAGTAAGTCCATTACTGTTCCAGTTTCTTCTACACGTGAATATGGTAAAATTATATTTTTTTCATTAGCTATGCAAATGTTTTTTTAAGATACTGTTAATGCTTAATGACCGTCTCTTCAGTTCTTTCATTAGATTAGTGTATTTCATGATATCATAAGAAACCCTAGAAACGTTCCATGAGAACCTCATTACTTCTGATTATATTGTCAGTAAAAGAATAGCTCCGTTACAGACAAGTTGATGTGGAAGCCTCCTCGTAGTTTAAAAAGGAAAATAAAACGCAGACAGATTTTTGTTTTTAATATACCTGTAAACCTATGTTCTGTTTACCTGGCCCAGCAGAGATGGATGCTGCCATGGCCAGAGCACTAGAGTTCTTGCTGCATTGCAGACAGGCCAATGCTCTGTCTACATTCGAGCAGTAACTCTGACAGAGATGGACTATTATGAAAAATGGTTACAGTTCTTTTCATTCTAGAGGTACTCAATAACTAAAGTACAATTACTAATTAAGGCCCTAATTATACCCTATGTGAAAAGAAAAGTAAAACCACTAACATGGTCTCACATACCTTTTGAACAGACTAAGGAACAGACTAATGGTTGTGAGATTTCAGGTGAGAATTTTATGATATGGTTAATTGACTTTTTTAAAAGGAAGGAAAGTATTAATCTTACGCAAACTCAAGCTGCAAATTGGCTTGTCTGAAACAACGCTTTCTTGACTATATTTGTCGGGGGGTAGTACTATAACCTATTACAGCTGTGAACTAATCTTTCTTCTATCTTTTCATTTTAGTCTACAAAAAATGCTTTAAAAAAATCACATGAAACTATAATTCATTTTTAGCTCTCAGTATTGTCTGATAGATCATCTAACACTGATAGTTAATCAAACACTGGGCTCTCATGGTTGGAACCAGAAAAAGGTGGTGCCAGAAATGCTCCAGTCTTTTCTAGCCACCTTCATCTAATAACTGTCATAGCATTGCTTGGGAGCAGCACTTAATTAAATGAGGGGGTAGCTAAGCTTTTTAGGTTCAGTGGTCTGTTCTATGTGCCTTTTTTTTTTTCCTACTGAAAGAACAAATAGGAATGTGATCCTCTTGTCCTTACATCTGAGTCTTAGTTTTACTATCATAGAAGTTCATTAGTTGGTATAGCTCACTTCACAGAGGACAGCCAGGATACACTTTGGCATAAACTACCTTTACATTTATGTAGACCTGCTGATTCACTTGGTGAGCCTTTTTTTAAATGAAAGCAAAACTTAAAAATTTGAAACTAACTGCTTCAGATGACTAAATGCATCCATATCTCGAGGGCCTCTCCATGCATATACTTCTGCCTGCGTAGCACAGACAGGCATGAGGAGTCAAGACTTGCTATCAAACTCTGCTTGTGGCATGGCTAAAAATGAAAATTATAAAATGTGTTAATTTCTGCTATTAGTGGAAATAAAGATAGATATATGGGATTCCAAATACTGAATTCTGGATAAAATATAGCAAGTAGCATCAAATTAACTGAAACCATCACACACTAAACTGAAAACTTGTTTTGCTTTTAGGAATACACCTTTCCATCCTAGATGAAAGCCTAGAAAGAATTAGTGCTTTTGGACAGCTTCTTCAACCTGCTTCATGCTAGTGCTTTTATTTCTAACTGGACGCTATATTCATAACAGCTCCTAAGATCAAGATTACAATTAAAAAGTAATGCTAAATTGAAGGTCACCACAGGTCCATTTAACTTTGACAGGATTTCATCAAAAATTCAGTGAATTATAGTTAAGGTCTGAAATTATTACTGAAAGTTCAGATTCCTTTAGACTTAAACTGCACATAAAATGCACTTTCTCATTGGAAAGAGAAAAGTTGTCTTGTTTTTTAGCTTCTGTTACTGGTTCAAGCTTGTTTCTCTTGCTTACAAGAAATTGCTCAAGACTAAGTTGATGCCTAGTGAATCATGTATCATGCAAGAAAGAAGCTCTGAAAGATACTGTGTACAAACTGCAATGCTGCTTGCTTCTGATGACTGATTTATTTTACTCTTTAGATGCTACACTCGAGCGCCAGTGTGATGCTTAGCCAATCCCCGCACTCCCGGGAGCTCCAGCAGCAAGGCTGTGCTATGGTACCCAAGGAACAGTTCCTGCAGCTTCAACACCAGCTACTACAAGCAGAGAGGAGGAATCAACGTCTTCAGGAGGAACTTGAAAATAGACCCTCTGAAACAAATATGCCACAGGTAAAGCTCTCTTTACTATGCAGGTTACAACTTCAAAAGAGTGTTTGGTTTTATTTTATTTTTTTAAATTCTGAGATCCTTTCTCTGTTTATGCCAGTTCAAAAATTAAAGTTCTTTGTATCAAAGATGTGTACGAAACAAACCTTTGTTATTTAGCACATTTAGCTTGGGCCATAGCTTAATTCTGCAGTCGTCTTAATTTTCTTGAAGTAAACGCTCCTATCCACACTTAACTGGCTTTTCTCTTTCTGCTTTATGTGCAACAGCTTTATAGCTTTTTTTCTTTACCTAATGCCCGTGTCTGAAACCATTTTGTTTTTAAAAATACAATATACCACGTATTGCACGAGCACACATGCCTAAAACATAAAATACTAGTTCAGGCTGTTGCTGCCACATGGATTTCTGCTGTATTAGATGTAGTAGAGCATAATACAAACAAATAACCCTTTTTATAAGGTCGGCCTGTCTTCATTATTTGGTCATGGTAGGACACTGTAGAACACTGTTATACAAAAACTTCAGCTTTGCCATTTCTGAGGTAAAAAACAATCTAATTCCAAGAAAAATTGTAGACGCTGCACATACTGGGCTTAGCGGTTTTCACTATTTCTTTAATGTGAAATTATAGATTATAGGCGGTAATAGCTCTGGTAGAAAAGTTAGCGTTCCTCCATATAAAATCAAGTTTGGGGAGTAGGTTTGCCATGTTACTTGATTTTTTAATTTTACACTCAGATTGCGGTTGTGCTTTTTGAAAACACGTTATATCAGAGTCCAAGACTTTGAAGGTCAAAAATCTCTGAACATGTCAATAGAATATTTTGGAAAAAAAGGGTATTATGAAGAAAGACTCTATACACTGATATTTTCTAAAGCTTCTAAAACTTGGAGTAAGAATTGTTGTTGTTTTTTTGTTTTAAAGGCATAAAATCAAACAGTTCCCAAAAAAGAAACTTAATAGCAAATAATGCAGGATTAGTAAAAACAAATCAAATGTAAGGTTCTCTCCCTTTCAGCTGAGTCCTGACAGAAGTGCGTTATCACAGGCTAATGTACTTGGTCATGCACAATGAATAGTGTGTGTGGTTTAATTTGGAAATCAATAAAAGCCATATTGCAGCAATAGCATCTGCAAATGAATGTGCTGTGTACTGCATTAGGAATGATGACTTAGTAATTTTGCCTTTGAAAGCCTGAGAAACAATTTGCAAACTAGTCACATCCTGGAACTGGTAGTTCTACAGATGCATGACTTGTATGTTTCCTGTTTTGGTTTTCTTTTTTTTAAAAAAAAAAAAAAAAAAGCTTATCTTGGAAAGCTTTGAATTTAAAAAATGTTCTAGAATCTTTGCAAATACTTGCTGTCAATGCACTTAACCCTTTGAACTTTTGTTTTACATTGATTTTGCTTAAACAAAGTGATTGGATATTAACAAGATTCTAGTTCATAACACCTGCTATAGCTGTTTTCATGGGCTTTCTAGATAACGATCTAAAATCACTGCTGTTAAGGATATGCATTATATCACTATAAGCAAGGCCAAATGTGTCAATGCTTTTAGTTGGGTACACACTAAAACGCTTCTGTAAGCACATCTCGCTTTAATTGTCATTATTGTTTTTCTTGGTCATTTTGATTTCTAGGGTTAGCATTTAGTTGAGCTTATGTCCGTTCTAATGTCCCCTTTAGCATCTTGAAAAATTGCATCCTAATCCCTCTTCATCATCTTTTCACCAGTGAGTACAATGTGAGGTTATCCATGCTTTCTGTGTAAATTTAACCACCTAGTTTTGCTGCTGCTGCTGCTGTTCCTTGCAGCTCTCTTGGGTCCCAAGTCTGTCTGTATAAAAAGGTATCTAAAGTTATCCTCCTCCTTTTTGGAATCATTTTGCATTCTTCATGCCTTACAATTTTCATTGCTTCTTGATCACAGCTTTGGTCTGTGTTCTCACTCATTTTTAGGATCGCTCTTGAGCTGTTGCCCTGCAAGGTTACCATTCTGTCATAAGTTCAAGTTTCGCTAAATTAAAACTCCTGATCCTTTTCTGTAGTGTTAACCTGTCTGGACTCTTCTGAATTCTAGATATTTTTACTGCTGTGTCTTGTGCTAAGATACTTTTCCTGACCCACAGTAGCTCTCACTGCACTCACTGTGGTTTTCCTTGCTCAGTAAGAGTGAGGGCCTGTTACTGACCCAGTCTCTTTCTAAGTGCTGTCTATTAGAATCTCTGAAAACAGATAGATATTTTTGTATTGAAAGTACTTGCAGTTGCTCGTCTTGCTCTTTCTTCAGCTCCTTATTTGAGAATTCAGATAACTTTATTTTGGTGACCCCCGCTGACCGACAGTCCATTCACCTGCTCTAAAGAGACTTGTAACTAGGTTTAGAGTAGAAATGCAAGTGCAAGTAAGGTGGGTTTTTACCTTTTCCAGAGGAGGTTAGTTGGGCTACATCTTTCATAAATGCTATTCAACAACGTGAGATTCTATCTAGTGCCAGATAAATTTCCTCTAAGCAATTTAACTGCTTTGCTAACTGCAATTAATCGCCCCTAAAGTTAACTGAGCTTTGTTAAATACCCCCACATGTTGATGAGCCATCTGAAGAGTCTTTACATTTAGAAAATGCATTTTGAATATATCCTCAGTTGCAAATGTGTAGTGCCAATACTAATACTTAGAGAAATATAATTTGTGGTGCTCTGCATGCTTTCTTGTGTGTATGTTTGTTTGTCTTGCTTTGCTTGCTTAGCTTGTATTTGTGGTTTGCTTTATACCAAAGTATACATTTAAAAAAAAAAAAAATCTTGATATCAGGGTGAAGTATCCCACTTGCCTTCTTTCTCTAGGCCTTGCTACCGGAGCAGCGAGCAGTGCATGCAGATTCCTACAGGAGGATTGGGCACCTCTGACAGCTTGGCTGCTTATGATCTCATTCCTTACCATGATAAACACACACACACACGCGAACTGGCATAAGCTGAGAAACTTGAGGATCAAATTATTCTGTGCATTTTTTTTAAAGGTTTCCAGTGTTATGTTATTTCTTATTTATTTGTCTAGGAGGTATTTTGTGAAAGGTCATAAACTGTCCTTTTTAATTTGTTACAAATCGTTTTTATTTATGTTATTTAAAATGTGGATTTGTTCAATGTGGAAAGAGATAAACTATTTTTTTCAAATGGTACTAATTTTATAAGAGATCTGAAGAAAGCCTGGGGTATTTATACTGCATTTTTGTATAAGATGTATAAACTTTTAAAAAGGGAAAGATGACAGTTGATGTAAATGAGAAATAAAAAATTTTTTTAAACAATGTCTCTTGTCTTACTAGTATTAATAGTTTCAGCTTTATGAACAAATTACAGCTTTTTTTTTTAATTGTTCTTTGATACTGAGGATTGTCATATCAGGACTTTTAGGAAAGGCACTGGCCTCTCATGACGTAATGAGCCACTGAGTTCACACTCACCACCAGCACACATATGTATTTGAGAACAGAATTTGCGCAGTATGTAGACAATACCCTATTGGTGTGACCATAAAGTTACAAAGGGAGGGCCAGAAAAGGGGAAAATTACTAACAGATTGGTTTCTCAGATGCCAGTCCTTAGGGTTTTTTCTTTTGTCTCAAATTACTATGTTAAGTTAATTGGGTTTTTTCTCTTTATATTTTAAGAGGTCAGTAAAACACAGCTTTAAGGCCTATCATTTTTCTAGTTGGGAGCAATGAACCTTGTCAGTTCTCTGCTTTCAAAGATGTTTCATATATGTTTTTAATGATCTTAAAGCCTAATGCTTGAAGATCAGCTTCAAGCATGCTGCTTCATGCTTGAACATTAGCTTACATTGAAGCTAATGTTTGTCCCATTAAACATGAAATAATAAAAAGTTAGGTAAAACATTCTCAAATTAACTTTAACCCAAAAACCAGGGATTGCAAATGTTGAGACCACTGATTCTTAAAGTTTCCACTCATCTACTTGGAGCTCCTGCAACCAGTTGAAATGTAATATTTGGCCATGTTTTCAAATTCCAATCAAGTTACAAAAGATAGCTGAAGATAACTTGGCTAAAGTACTGCAAATATTACAAAAGTACTTTTTTTTTTTATCTGGTAAAAGATTCTGTCCAGCAATACAGTAAAATTGCTTTCTTTTACTCAAATTTAACTTTTTTAAACTTCTTTACAAGCTATGTGATCATATAACCCCATACATAGACTACAGAATTTCTGGTGCTCCATTAAATGAAATGTTGAGTAAACTTCAATCAGTTCCCTAAGAGGATCTTTCTACAGTGGTTTGGATAAACAACTAACTAGCTAAAAGTCTCCTTCCTCTGTTTTTTTTCATTTATCATCCCACACAAGTATGATGGTACTCTGTTTCTGTAGGCCACTTGAGAGGGTCAGTGCTTTATTAAAGCTACTCTTATTCTAGGAAGTCATCTGAGAAGAGTAACAAGCCAGCATTAAAAGAACAGAATCCCTTTCCTTGCAGTCATTGTCTGGTGTTCCCATATACAAATAAGCTTCCTTGTATTTCCTGGTGTTTCTAATTTATTTAGGAACACCTCACTTAGGAGCTGGTATAACAGGCACACTTGTGACAATGAGTTACTATGCTTTTAGTTAAATTACCTGCTACATCAGTGAATAAAAACAGTTAGAAGCACACTAGAGTAGGTATTCAGAAATATTAGTGATCCCACAGCTAATATAAGGAAAGTAAAAATCAAGTTTAGGATAACAGCATCCTACCTTTTTAGTATGCTACTCAATTCAGAGGGGTCTTTGACACGGGAGAGTTATGCTGTCAAACAAATGCCTTTATCACTTCACCCTAATAATTTTTTTTCTAAAAATTATTAAGCCTTTGATTAGTACTTTGCTTCCCAAGTGCAATTGAATTATGGCAATGCCTGAGAACCAGAAAATGAAACTATCTAGATCTGATTATGGCAGTCTAGACTGAACTTAAAATTCTGTATCAATTTGTCTTTGATCAGGTAATCTAAAGTGTAACTTGCACAGACCTGGAAAACTGTTTTAATGCTGTGAGTGTCCTTTAAATGTTGCCGTAACATTTTGTCTGCGTGAGCTGTTTACTAACTTAGTCTAAAATAGTTAAAATAGACCTGAGCGTGGAGTGCCAGCTCTTCTCTAAAGCATAAACTGAAAAGAGGAGACTGGTGAATGTGAATTGGTTTTTCTTTTTTTTTCTTTTTTTTTTTTTTGTTAATTGATTCTCACATAAATGTTGCTTTCCAGGGGAGTCATGAGCAGCTTCTAAAAATGATGGAAGAACGTATGATGGATGTAGAACAGAAACTAAGGCTTGTGAAGAGGCTTCTCCAAGATAAAGTAAATCAGCTGAAAGAACAAGTAAGTATTCTTACTCTCTTCCCTAAATTTTCCCCATAACTTCTGCAAACAACTAAGCAAGCAAAAGCTGCCAAGTCAGACTTTTGCTTAGAAGAGTTAAAGGTGTGTTCCTTTTGCTTTTAGTGTTTTTGAGCTACAGTAAAGTACACTTGCCCAAAAATTCCTAAAATCCAAACTGGGGACTGATTCTGCCACTCAAAGTTCCTGAAAGTTGTGCTTGCTTGGCACGCTGATAGACCTAAAGTCAGGAAACAAATATCAAATTTGGGCCAAGTACCTTAACTGGAAAAGAGCTGTGCTTAGAATAGGAAGGAGAAAAGATGATTCTCGGAGTACTGGCAGGAAGGTTTTCTAGGAAGGTTTTCCTCTTCTTCCCTACCCCTTGCTTTGCCTGGACTGGTTTTGTTTGGTTCTTTTGTTCTTGCTCTGGTCTGCTTTTTTCAGAAGTCCCGGATAGAACAGGAAAAGGTGGCTCTGAGTACTTAGAAGGTAGAACTCCACATTACATGATAACGAGGGGGAGTGTATGTGTGTTCTGTCAAGTCCCTTCCTTCTCCCATGTCAAGGAAGTGCTATGCTGACAGGGTCTCTTGCCGAAGGCCTGATCCCAAAGACACGTAGACAAGTGCTAGGCTGCTGTTCTCGGTTTTATAGGGGGATCTGGTGGTCCACATCTCTAAAGAAGTATCTCTGGGATCAGTGGGCTTGTGGATCCTGTTGTGAACTAGACCTGTCCCTAGGTGATATATGCTATAAGCAGTTCTCACTTGCCACAAGACTAACGTGTCGCCTACCGTCATTTGCCTCACATTTTACTCACAATTCAGCTTTCGAAGAATACTAAAGCAGATGCAATGGTCAAGGATCTCTATGTTGAGAATGCACAACTGCTGAAGGCTTTGGAGATGACAGAACAGCGGCAGAAAACTGCTGAAAAGAAAAACTATTTATTAGAAGAAAAGATTGCTAACCTCAATAAAATAGTAAAGAACCTGGCATCCCCCTCTTTTAATTCAGCATCTGAGTTAAGGTCATAGCAAAGCTGTAAGTATGCCACAGTCCCATGCACTTTACTGAAATGTTAATATTTCAGCTCTTCACTGTTTTGCCTTTTTGAACTGATGGATTTTTCGTTAAAAACTCCTCCAAGGAGATGGCAGAGCTAAATCCTAAACAGGACACTGCCAATTTCTGTTTATTCCCAAACTATTTTTCTCCTAAATTTTGACTAAAACTAGTGTTCAATATGTATTAAAAAAAAAAAAAAAAGACGGGTTAACTTATTCTGATACTTTTTTATTTTAAAATATACATTCTGAATTTACTGTACCAATCTAGATTGAAGCCAGGGTCTAAAGCAAACTTAATGAATTCAAAACTGAAAAAATATTTCTGGCTATCTAGGCTACTTCATGGTTCAAACCTAGTAATATTGATAGATCAGTCTTGAGCACTGTCAGCATAATTGTTACTGAAAGCCAGACTTCCTTGATGCTGTCCATATCCTGCAAACTAATTCTGCTTTCTCTAAAGCAATATGCTGCACCTCATGCATTAGGCTTCTGGTTCATCATGGCTGTTCCTCAGCAGAGCTCAGAAAAAGTGTTTTCTTAAAAATATGTACATAGACTACTGCCTCCAACTAAACATGACAGCATTTCATCTGAAGAAACTTCCCAGCTGGTAAATGAAAGATTACTTTTTTTTTTTTCAAGCTGCACTGCCAGACAACTTAAAACTGTAGAGGCCTTAAATTTTCTGTGTGTGGAAATAAGTTACACTAAACAATGGACGAATCACCAAACAGAAGTGAAGACATGAGTTGTGTTTATACAACTTGTAAACTCATTAAAGCAGTGGAGTATGTTTAATAAACAACTCACAGAAGAATGAAGAGGGAGACCTAAATGATTTCTTCAGTGGAATCCTGTCATTAGGGCTGCCAGAGCGGGACCTCTGCCGTTCATGCAGTGTTCTGTTTGACTTGAGTAATCATTTGAATAAGGCCTGTTGTTTCCAATAGATGCTAATACAGAATCTAAGTTTGTAATTAATTGTGAGGAAACACATTCAAGGTGAATATGAAAAACTCAGGGAATAACAGCCTCAACTAGTTTCCTGCACTATTACAAACATGGATATTAATGTCAGTAGATGAAAATAAACATGCGTTAGGAAAAGCAGGATAAACCAAATTGTATTTGGTTGAATATTACCTGATGATACTCCTAGACAAACACGCACTAATGGTGTAGTCATGATGGTCAAGGAGCAGCAAGGTTCTGTAACGACAAGTAGTATCTCCTATCAGACCAATTTATGAGGCTAGGGAATACAAATTTTCTGGGAACAGCTTCAAGATTTGAGATAGGTCTGACATAAACAGCTGAATGAGAGCTTGTACGCTTGTATAACCCATTGCTGCAGTCTAAATATAGATGCTATCGTTCCCTATACGGGCTCCTTGCCCCTGTCAGGGCAGTAAGAGATTTTTAAACAGTGTAAATAAAACTGGTGAAAGGAGCCATATTGGCCTTACTTGAAACTGGTCCTCTTTAAATATATTCTGCATAAATAGTGTATGCAGAGGAAGAGGGTAAAATGCTTTGTCTCTGAAACCACTAGTGCAAGGTGACAATTATGACAGCATTTGTAATGAGCCAGCTGCCCCCTAGAAACTGGGATAAGACTGCCTATGAGCTGTTGAGTCACCTGCAGAAAATTGTTCATTTGGTACTGATTAGTGTGTGGCTCTAGGGGATGCTATCTATGTCTAAACAGTTACCTGCTAATTGGAGGGTTAAGGGACTGAAATATACATATGGAGTATGACCTCCTCTTCTCCTTCCCCCTTCCTCTTCCCTTCCTTTATGCAAGCAATATAAGGCCTATTAAAAAAAGAATGTAAGATATATCAGGTTTTTTTCTTACACCTGCATGCAAGAATGGAGCATAAAGACACATGTAAAAATAATTATGAAGAATCGGTGCAATTTGTTGTTGTTGAAAGGTCACAGTGAGTATACAGGAGTATATCTTTTCAAAAAATGAAAGATTTATCAAAACAATAATGGAAAAATACCTTGGAGTAACATAATCTTTATACATTATTTCATAACTGTCTTATTCTAAATACCTGTACTGACCGTTTTTCTGAGTAATCTCAAATTCTGAGATTTACATACCCCATTTTTCAGTCCGCAAAAGCTTTTAAAAATTCAAAATTGTATTGAGATAAATTGGAGCTTCTTTTTCAATTTTGAAGCAGGAACATTTTGTTTCTCATAGTAATCAATAAACAGTATCACTTACTAAAAAGAAAAAAAAACACTGTGTAGGTACCCAGCCTGTATGTTAGCAATATTAAAACCATGCCTAGGCTAAGAAAATTAGCGATGCTTAAAAATATTTCCAGGCAGCACTGCAGCTGATGTTCAGATGATCAGAATTATACTTGGAAAAACATTATTAGATAGTACTGTTTAAAGCTATTTCACATCTTGACCTAGGTTTACTTCTAGGGCTCAGTATGTGACCAAAGTGTGAAAACTGAACAGAGGGAATGAGTATGTATTTAAACTCCTGTGGAATTATTTTGAAATAACTCATTATAAAGGCTAGACTACTCACTCACCTAATTTTTAATCTCCTGGTACTTATGGTGTTTTTAACCAAACATACAGACGTTTCGAAAACACAGTGCCAAAAAGGGAGCCCAGATACAATGATAATACTGGAACAGTAAGGAGAAACTGAGAAAAGGGAATTCGACTTCTCCCTTTCTCAACCCATGCTCTTTTGCCCTACTTTTCTTTCACTTAGCTTTAAAAAAACTAAACTAACCACGGAAGAGAACAGGAGGAGGAGGATGGAGGAGGAAGAGAATGTTTGGTAAATATTTTATTTAGACAGACTCCAATTTCAGTAGAATATTTGTGTCAATTCTCAAAAGTGCCTTCTATAATTACATATTCTAGACTCTTTCTGTACTGTACTTTCTGTTGCTACAGAACAATTCAGGACAATCCTTTCCCAAATGGAGTGAATTCAGACAAAGGTAGCGCTGCTTACAAACAAGTGTTGTGTTGTATGTTGGTTGAGTACGTCAGCTCAGAAGTTAAGCAGCAAGTGTTACAAAGTCTAAGCTAGTGAAAATAAGCATATAAACATGTAAACTCTTAAGCATTTGTGATCTTCCATGCACGAGTGTCTCCTATGCAGTGTAGGGATTTTAAAGATACTAAAGTATTTAACAGTATCATAACATGCAGTCAAAAATTATTGAATTCCTAAGCGTTGTTCACGCAACAGATCTTGACAATTAAGATATTAACTACTGTGTTACCAAAAGGTGTTTTAAATGTTTTTAACTCTTGCTTTATGAATCACTGTGAAAATAGAGGCACATAGATGTTTGTGGTTGAGATTTCTGGGAGAGGGAAGAGGAAGTATATGACTGAGTCAAATTTTTGTGAATTAAATCTACACAGCTGAAGTACTACTTGTCAATTTAGAATGGTATAAAAGCATACATTGGAACACATTCACAAATATTCATTTAAATTCAAAGAAAACTAAATTATTTGAATTCTGTTTGAAAAAGGGATTGTAACGTATTTGATTTTAGCCATTTACAGATTACATGTGAGCTGCAGAAGGGGATGGTTTGGCTCTATCAAAGAACACTAAAAGCCTTTATTTTGCTTTCAACAAATGACATCACTGTTATAACTGTGCTGTGTTGTCTCCCAGGTTTTACCTGTTACAGTCTCCTGTTCTCACTGTCATTGCTGACAAATGACTTGTGTATAAAGAAAAAACAATTGTATATTTTTTTCCTTATCAGGTTTGTTTTGTTTCAGTGTAATATACTGTCCTTATAACATCATGTAAAGCAAAGGTAAAACAACTTGTACATTATTTATGAATGTAAAAAGAATAAATTTCTGTATGCTCACTGCTTGTTTTTTTGGTTTAATCCAATTTATCTACCCATGGAAATTGTAGGTATTTCACATGCTATCTGAAAATTCTTAAGTATGTACATGAGTAAAGTGTAGTAACAGAAAGGACGGTAGTTCCTCGCTGCCTTAAAGTATAAAATAAAAAGTGGGCGGTGTAAGAGGTAGGTTCACTATCGCACCAGCTTTTTAAGAACAACAGCAGTCGCATACCCGTTCTTTGCCTTTATGGGTGTAACACAGGAGGCACTCAGTTTTCCCTTCATTTAACTAAAATTAATGTTTGTTTGGTAACTGATGCGAGGGGCAGGGAGGTGATACCTGTGGCAAGCAGAGGGCGGCTCTCTGGCGGCAGCCGCCCCTGAGGGAGCGGCTCTGAGGT